AGTTGAAAAGCTTGATCAAAAATAAAGACTTTTCTGATAATTGTCAAGCTTGGTTACATCAGAAAAAACCTGAGTCGTGTTCTCCTAATGCATTAAAGATGTATATCGAAGGGATAGTATTTCTTCAAATGGTAGAACAGATTAAAAAAAACACTATTTCTGAAAGAACATATCGAACTTATATGCACTTGTGGGGATTTAGATATGATGAAAAAAAAAAGGGAATTTATTATGATGGACATGAGCGATCAGATGTAGTGATTTATAGAAGAGAATGGCTAAATAGAATGTTTGAATATAGGAAATATATGAAAAGCTTTAATGGCAAGATGTTAGACATTGTAATAGAACCTCAGCTTGAATCTAGTAAAAAAGAATTAGTTCAAGTAACACATAATGAATGCCATTTTTATGCAAATAATGATCAACGGAGAATATGGATTGGAAAAGATAAAGATATCTTACGTCCAAAAGACAAAGGACGTTCTGTCATGGTTTCTGCCTTCCTCTGCCCATGTCACGGATTACTACGACTATCTGATGAACAAATGAGGGTAAATCCACACATAAAGTATAAGGAAGCATTTATTCTTCACTCCATACAGTTGGACGAATACTGGAAATCGGAACATATGTTGGAACAATTACTGCAACAAGCAATTCTAATATTTGAAGTGCTTCATCCTGGCTGTATTGGAGTTTTCTGTTTCGATCAATCAACAAATCACAATGCAATGGCCGAAAATGCATTAATTGCAACAAAAATAAATCTGGGTCCAGGGGGGTCGCAACCTAAAATGCATGATGGTTGGTACATTAATGAAAATGGAGAGAGAATCACACAGTTAATGGTATTTTCAGATAATTATGAAGTGGTAAAGTTGAAAAAGGAACCAAAAGGAATTAAACAAATACTTGAGGATCGTAAACTATGACTATCAAAAGGTGTTAGATTAGTATGTGAAAACTATAAAAAAAAAGATAGTAATTCAAAAAGATTGGACTGTTGTGCATGACAAATAATATCACAGCAGCCTGATTTTCGCGAACAAAAATCAATTTTAGAAGAAGCAATCCTTAAAAAAGGACATATTTTTGAATGATATCCAAAATTCCACTATGAGTGTAATTTTATAGAAAGATATTGGGGCTATATAAAACGAGAAACAAGAAAATCATGCAGTTATAATTATGCTGACTTACTACAAAAAGTTCCAAAGGCTCTTGTTAGTGTTTCTGTAACAACAATTCGCAAATTCGCTCAAAAATCTTGGAGATACATGGATGCTTACGACAAAGGTTTAGAAGATAAAACTGCTGAATGGGCTGTCAGTAAATACAAGTCTCATCGGCGTTTACCTGAAAACATTGAAAAAGAAATGGATTTAGATAAATAATTGGTTGGATAACTTAGCATTTTATTTTTTTTTTACAAGTTTAAATGGATTAAATGTATAATTATATAAAAATTCTTTTCATTTGAAAAACGAATTTGTTAAATCTTTTATTAGATATAAAAATAAATCTATAAGTGATTCTTCATAGAATATAAAAAAATGTACCGTTGAATTGAAACTTTTTTATTGATTAATCAAGATAATGAGACGCGATTTTATTGGTCAACCACAATTTCCGGCACCATACAAAAAAAAACGTATACCACGTGATATTGAATTAAATATAAAAAGTACCATAATTTTCCTTCCTTGGAACAAACAAAAAAAAAAAAAGGATTAACAGTGATTCCCAAATTAATTTTTTACTAACGAGTATCGAAAGAGGAATTTTTTTAGTGGATTTCAAACCAGTGTCAACACCCTCAAACGTCTCACGGATGCTTCCCAATAGCGACGTCCACCTCTCGTCTTTTGCTCTTTCCTTTAGAGTTGCTAGCTCCGCGAAAAAGAAAGACCACCAAATGCATTTATATTTTATCGTCGTGCCAAACAACCGAATATTTCATCTGAAGAACCTATGAAAGTATCAAAGGAGATTGGAATATTGCATATGAAGAACCCATGAAAGTTCCTAACAAGTTCCAAGAAAGGCCACCTCGATCATCAAATGAATTGTTTTTTATTGTCATACCAAAAAAAACCTCCATTATCGCTCCAAATTGCGAAAATGTAGCATGAAGAACCTGTGGAGGTTTGTAACAAGTTCCAAGAAAGAGTTATTTTTACTTTATTCTTGAAGGACTTGAGCCCATAATGGCCCCCAACGCCTCACGGATGCTTCCCGAAAGCGACCTCCGCCTCTGTGGATCCGCGAAAGAGAAAAACGCTATCAGTGGTAAAAACGGCAAAATTAAAAAGCCACCGAGACCTCCAAATGCCTTCCTCCTTTATCGTCGTGCCTAACAACTATCCGTTATCGCCTAGTACCATGGAATCTCAAATAACGATGTATCAAAGGGGATTGGAATATAGCATGAAGAATCTACCCTCCATTGTCGCTCTACATTACGAAACCTCAAATAACGATGTATCAAAAGATATTGAAATGTGGCGTGGAGAACCTATGGAAGTTCATAATAAAGAGTCATTTTTACTTTATTCCTGAATTTGAGCCTACGATAGCCCTCAACGTCTCACAAATGCTTCCCGAAAGCGACCTCCGCCTCTGTGGATCTGCGAAAGAGAAAAACGCCATCAGTGGTAAAAACGGCAAACTTAAGAATCCACCTAGACCTCCAAATGCCTTCATCCTTTATCGTCGTACCAAATAAACCCTTTATGTCACGGGATCTCAAATAACGGTGTATAAAAAGATATTGGAATATTGCACGAAGAACCCGTGGAAGTTCGTAACAAATTCAGGATGATAGTATAGGGTGCTATAGTTAGCACAAAGAAATATCCTGAATATGGGTATTACCTGCGACGGCCTCAAGAAAGAAACGTCGAGCCCTGCACGCGAAGAAGGTAATCTGCATCCAGTTTTACCTCAGTTTACAATTGCACAATCTCCTTCGACGTGTTTCTTCCTCGTCGGTGATATCGAAAGCGGATACAAAATTCACATTAGCGAGAGTTCTACACTCAAAGTCCAGAGACAATATCACCTTCCAATACATTCGGTCTCTTGAACAATTCCGTATCCCAGGCATACACCTACCCCAAATTCATTTAACGAGGGCTACTTTCTGTCTTCTGATGGATAATCACAGAAACACTTCGGAAAGTATAAAAATACGCTCTATTGTAATCACGTCACATTAGGCTCAGTCAAAATAGCAATCTATCCATATTTTTACAGTCGTTTGGTGTGTCAATTCTATAATCGATTCGTTAAACCAAAAAAAAAAATTCCTTTATTCTAATGATGAACTATGACATCAAGCCATTTGAATTGACCTTAGAGAAAATTGTCCTTTGTGGATAGTATCATTTTCTCCAAGCATTTCCAAATCATATTGTTTTCCGTAGACTTGTACTGCATATTTTCTCATTCAACTCTTTGTTTAAATAATTCTTTCCCTACATTTATTTTTTCATATCCTTTTCCATCGTGATTGTACAGTATTTAGTATTTTTTTTCAGTATTGTATAAATATTTGCATATTTTTTTAAAAAATAACCACCCTTGTATGCAAAACCTCAATTACGTTCTAAAACATCTATACATTATGGGGCGTATTATGGTGCACTCGTTCTTTTTATGTATTTCCTATTTGGATAAATTATACAAAATGGGCTAGTGCACAAATCCCAATACAATAAATAGAGACGCTAAATATTAATTATCAATTATAAAACCTTCAGCTAAAAAAAAAAGCAGTTTTTGGATGTTCATAAGTTTTTTTTTGCTTTAATGATAACGATTTCCGTTTCCTAGTTTACTATACAACTTGTTATTTTTTATATTAAAAAACGATTACTGCATAAGATTAATTTTTAATTTTATATAAATTTGTAATGCTTAGTAACAAAATTATATAATTAATATCATATAAAGATTAAATTAACTTATTCAATAATTAATGGAAATGAATTTTTTATATTGAATTCCGAGTCATATTAAAAATTTATTAACATGTTTTTAAATATTTTAAGTCAAGTTCAGGTCAAGTTCAAGTTGAAATTGTTGTCTTTATTCCTACGATACTTTTTTTAAACTTTTTTATATTTTTTATTGATATAATTATATTTTGTTTTAGTTTAATTTTGTAATATTTAACAAAAATCAATTATTTAATATAAATATTATTGTTGCTTATAATATAATATCACATATATTGCAAAAAAATAGAAACATCAATTATATAACATGTATTAAACTATCATTTAATTAAAATATAATTGAAACTTGAAGAATTTATATATAAAGTTTTAAAAATATATTTATAATATAAAAAATATATATATACAAAACAATAATATATTCTTTTTTTTTTTTTCTTTCTCAATCAGGTTGGTGTCGTTTATTTATTAAATCAAAATGAACCATTACAAATATAAATTGCATGTATAAATTTCCCTGATCCAGCTTACCCATCTGTGACAAAGAGTTTCTAGATGCAATTTATAGGGATGATATATTGCTTATCCATTAATTGGAATTAAGATTCCATTTGTTTAATGGAGTCAAAGCCTGCAGATCATCTCTATAGAACAATAATATATTCTTTTATCCAATAACTTATTATATTTTTCAATATATTATATTTACTTATATTGTAACATATCTTAAATATTTCTTTTGATATTATATAATTAGTAATTATAATCTAATAACACATTTGTTAATGATATTTTAACAATATACTATATATACAAGGTGTCAAGAAAATAATTAAACTCTTGTTAGATAAACTTATAACACATCTACTAACTTTATTTGTTTAGGTTAAGGGGCTAACAAATTAATATGATTGTATTTAACTTTTAAGAGATACAAATTTTTATTTATGGTAAATAAAATATTATTTTTTTCTCATTAAACATGATAATAAAATTACTAATTTTGCAATGACAAACTATTTTACATTTTTGGCATAAAGGTATATGATCTCCAAAGAACTTTGCAAAATTACTGGTATCCTCCTATTAACAATAAACTATAATTTAAAAAAAATCAATGAAACTGGTAATGTTTTGCACAGAGGGTAATGACCGCCTAAAAAAATCAAAACTGTAAAATCATATAAGCTTGAACAATACATTTATAGGGATAGTTCTGTTTCACTGTACATCTTAGCTATCAAATTATCTAAGAATAGAGAGTGTGTTTTTCGCATTATTATTGGAACACATTTAAAGAACCTTGGTTATAAACATGCTATCTCTACTAGTACACCTATGCTTATAGATGCATATAAAGAAAAGCATGTTGAATAGGCAAAAAAACACTTGAGTGATAACTGGGAAAAGACAATATTTTCAGATAAGACAGCCTTTGATTTATATGGAAATAAAGTTAGGAAGTGATACAAGGGTTCTAAACCTTTTTGGTATTTGCCTAAAAGTTGGCAAAAGATTTTTGCTTGGGTGAATTTTGCACAAGGAGAAAAACTAATTTGTTTGCTTTAGTAAGATCATAACAGGTGAATTTTACATTGGAATTTTGTAAATTACTTATCAGAAATAAAAAGAATGCTTGGTCGTCGGTGAAGATTTCAACAAAACAATGATCCAAAGTACATCAGTCATATCATGAAGAAATTCTTGAAAGAAAACTTTCCCGAAGTCATAAACTGGCCAGTTAATAGTCTAGACCTTAATCCACTAGAAAACCTATAGGATATCATTAAACATAATAATTTGCAAAAGTATTTGAGTAACGAATAGGATAAAATTATCTGTAATACACTAATTAACATAATCAGATCTATGTCTAATCAATGCCAAGCAATAATCAATAACAACGGTAAATGAATTGATTATTAAATATGTTTTTTTTATATAATAAAATATAGTTATTAGGTTTTTAAATAAAATAAAATAATTATAAACAAACAATAATAAATTTAAATAAAAAAAATATTCAATTATTTTCTTGATATCTTATATATTATTATAGGTTTTTTTTTATATAACAATTTTTTTAAATTAATTTTTTCATAAAAGTTTTTTATTAATACAATATATAGCTTATTAAAATAAACTTTTTATTATTTTTTATATTTGTATATTTTAAAAAATAAAAAAAATCTAAATATTAATTTAAATTATAGCTATTCAAATATATTTTAAATTTTTTTATATATAAATTTTGGTTAAAAATATTTTATTTTATTATGATAAAATTTTTTAAAAAATTAATCAAAAATTCAAAAAATCATTTGATATAAAAAATTTTTATCAAATTATATCATTAAAATTTCATATTTTTTTATTTTAAAAATTAGATTTTAATATAAATTTTTTAATAAATTATTTAATAATTATATATTAATTTATTTATTTTTCTTTTTTTTTAAGATGAAAGTATAAATCTGCAAGATTTTTATTAATAAATATCTTATACCAATTACAATTGTAATAATAAGACTTATACAAGTCAATATATTATATACTCTATACAGATTATCTTCCATATTTTATATTACATCCATTACTTAGAAACATATTGCCTTTAATGATTTTCTATATAATATTAAGTGGGACCTATAGGATGTAGAAATCCTACTACTAGTTTAAACTATACATGTTTCCTTATTACTATAAAAGGAAATTTGATCAACAATATGATTCTGAATTAAATATGATTCCCAATTACTTACTAATTATTATTTGGTAATATAAATATAATATGGTTTTTGAAAAATATCAAATTAAATACAAATATATATATAGTTTAAACTATCTAACTTATATGATCCAGCTTTGTCCAGAGGTAACTTGATTAAAGATATTAGTCCAAATATCTCTTTACCTTATTGCTTAAATTTCAGATTACATTTTTATTGACCATTGATTTCTTTTGCAAGATTGTAATTCTTTTTACCATCTGTAACTAGTTATTTTTCAAACCAATTAGGCTTTGCATCAGATTAAAATATTTTAGACTAGGGCTCTAATTACTATTGAAAGAAGAGAAACAAGATTCAATTAAAATGGAATACAGTCTAATCTTACAAGAAGAGTCTTAATTAAAAGTTGAATATATGTTTTTTGACTTACTATATTGTTTAATTATGTAGATATACTTCTAACAATTATTGTAATACCATCTGGATGATCATCACATCATAATACTTTTTCTGAAGATTACAATCTCAATATCCACTGAATTAGAATATGAAATGGCTTCATATAAAAAACAGTATATAACATGTTATAGTACCAGATATCATATAAGTTCTATTTAATTATTTTTATCTGGGATTGAACCAGTATCTTGTGATTTGACCTGTGAAATGCTAACTATTGCACTATAGATCCACAGATCAAAAAAATATATTTTATTAATTTATTATTATTGATTTTTTATTAAGTTTTTAAAATCAAAAAAAATTTTAAAACCATTTTTTCAAATAAAATTTTAACAATATTTTAACAATATATTATATAAATAGTTATTAAGCAAACTTGTTCTTTATAATCTCAAACATATATAAATAAGGCTCCTAAAAAGTACCAAACTGGTATCAAACTGGTATCAAAATGATATCAATCTATAGTAAATTTAATATATAGATTGTAACCTACTTATATGTTTTTATAGTAAATTTAAGTATCGAACTGGTATCAAAATGGTATCGAAGTGGTATCATTAGGAGCCCTATATATAAACAATTTTTTATATAATTTTTTTAAATAATTATTGAAATATAATTAATTAAATAAAAATTATTTTTGTTCAAAAAATTTTGATTACCATTATATATTAAATTTTTTTAAAGTGTTAAGTGAGGCATTTCTCGTGATCTTTATTAATTGAGTAAAATGTTACATAATTAATGTTTAGA